ATCCTGTCTGCTAATTTTTTTCCCCAGACATCTTGAAATGTTCAGCTGGGCTTTATTGGAGGCAGAATATTTTATTAATGCATTAATAATGATCTATTGATAAAATTATTCTTTTTGCTCTAGACATGCTTTCTACCCTTTGTAATATGTGCCGTTTTCTTGGCCATGCCTACTTTTAAAATATAGCTATACATTTGTCTCCAATGTGGCCATTCATCCACAAAAGACTACCCACCATTACCCTATTACCGGTAATTTAGGAAGGCTAAAACTATTTCACACTATATCACACATTGAGACCCAGCATGGAATTTTGCTTTCTTTATTCAGAACCTCAGAAGGCTGAAATAGAACAAGCTCATCATTCAATTCTTACCACTTTACAAATTTGATAATGTTTGCAGTCACATTATGATGACTTTTCAATTCACTCATAGTAGGAAGACTGGTATCTTTGTCACTCATTCTGTTGTCACGGAGACAATGTTAAAAATGCAATTCACATTAATGCAAAAACAAACAAACAATTATTATCATTAAATCTTTTCTGGAACACATCACATCAGACTGTTTCTACTTTGTGGCAATAAAGGGTTTGGATATGACACAGTAAGCTAAAAGCTGCATGAATGAATACAACTCTCATACAATATGTAATTTTGAATTGCTTTGTTGAATGTCATAAATGTACTTCTTCATTCATTCGTTCGTTCATTCATTCATTCATTTATTCATTTAATGCATTGGCCACCCACCTTACCATAAGATAACTCTGGGTAGCTTACAAACATAAAAAATAGATCTAAATTAACTGAATAAATTAAACCAAATATTAAAATCTAAGGATATGTGGGGAAAGTGGGGGTGGAATGGGGGAAGGTGGGAATCTTTGTTACTCGATCAACCATCTCCACTGGGGCCCTAAGCCGACTGGCAGAGCCACGTCTTTAGGCCCTTACACAAAGATAGGAGGGTTGGGGCAAGATGTTCCAGAGGGCAGGAACAACAGCAGAGAAGAACCTCTTCCTGGACCCCATCAGCCGGAATACTTGGGCTGACAGGACCCACAGCATGCCTCCTCGGCCGGCATGAGTGGTACAGGCCAACCCCAGTCAGGTGAGATGGTCCCTCAAATAACCTGGACCCATGCCATGAAGGGATTTAAAGGTGATTACCAGCACCTCGGATTGTACCCAGAAGCAGACCAGTAACCAATGTCGCTCATGGAGCAGTGGTGCTACAGGGGCCATTCTTGGGGCCCCCAAAGTGCCCACACCACTGCACTCTTCACCAGCTGTAGCTTCCAAATGCTCTTCAAGGGTAGCCCCATGTAGAGCGCATTACAATAATCCAATCATAAGATGACCAAGGACTGAACGACTTAGCGCAGGGAGTCCTGATCCAGGAAAGGCTTCAACTGGCGCACAGCACAAATCACCTAATGACACAGGGAAAGCTAATCAACAGCAAAGTGTGGACACTTGCATTTTTATGAAAGTAAAGATAGGCTAGTCACTCACATCACAAACAAGGAATCACAATTTAAAAAGTTTTCAACTAAATGAATCCATCTTCTGAGCAGGTCATATCTTTCTCTCAGTTACCAACTCAAGATAAAAGTCAAGAATAGACCGAAAAGATATTGAGAAAATACAGTACTTTGGGCAAAGGTAACTGGGGTGTGGAGTCTTGAACTCCCTCTTCAGTGCAGGAGTCCTGACAGAAACAAAGGGATTCCTCTTAAACTGTTGTATTTATGTTTGAGGTTTTTGACCCAGGACTTGGCATAGCTATCAAAATGGATCTGGCCAGACCTGCATAGACAAATATCTAGATCAAAGCAGGAGTATGAGCAGCTGTATTAAAAGCTATGGAATGGGAAACACTGGCTTATTGATCAGGCAAATTGGTAAGTTGGATTCCAGAAACAAAATGTTTCATGAGTAGTGCCATTCAATGCTATATGCATCATGATTCTCCTCAGTGTCAAAGTTCTGTATACACCATTTATGGTACCTCACCATATTGTCCTAGCCTAAAGCCATTAAAATCCTGATTTAAGACATCAAACTCCTGACAAGGAGGATAATAATTGATGACATCACCACAAAACAAAGCCCAAGCAGTTTGATTTTAAGTCAATTCAAGTGCTGCCAAGGTTCATTTTCTAGGGTGTTTTCACAGTTGCTTTTTATATGCTGATTTTAATTTTGTTTTCTGTTTTATAATAGTACTTCATGGTTACATAAATGCTAATGTGGACATTCAAGAGCAAGAACAGACACTCTGCAAACATATCTTTTAAGCAGAATGAAAAATACATAAACTAATAAGGATAGTTGAGATAAGCAAATAATAATTAATTGCCTATTAGTTACAAATTAAATTCTTATAATTTTCTCCGTGACTCAAAAGAAACACATTTCACAAAAAAGCTCATTAGTTCCTATTGCATTTCAAAGCTGATTTTAATTTAGATAAAAAGTCAGAACAAAATGTGCATGCAAGTCTATAATTTATTCTGGTATATGGATTAGTTTTTCGATAAGCAGATCTAGGATGAAAGAGATATGTGTGGCTATTCATTTATGTTTGCATTGGAAGAGAAAGGACCACAATTCAGTGTTACAGCAGACATTGGCTAAAAAAGCTGAGTGATCCCTGGCATGTCATCTGCAAAAAGAGTAAGAGCAAAATCCTAGATAGCAGCTCTAAGTCAATCAGTCAATCAATCAATCAACCAATCAATTGTTCCAATTTATTTTAACCAAAGATCAGAAACAAAGTAACATTTGCATCCCAATAACATAAAAAAGAAACCGATCTGAGTGTTTTATTCAAAGCTGCAAATTAACATAGATCACACTGAGATGAGTGGACCAACTATTTTCTGTTTTTAAACTTCTTTATTCTTCAAGCACATTTTAGACATTTGTTACCTAATATGTCACACTATGGCAAATTGATTCTTTATTAATTTTGTCTTGAAAGGTTATCTTTCTACTAGATGTAAACTATATAATGGATGCCTTCTTGTTTTGAATATAGTATTATTTTTTTATTGTCTCCCATCTTAAATTAATAAGCTTAATCATCACAAAATCTAATGATTTCATAAAGAACTAGCCACTTCAATTTCTTGTGCCCAGGAAGTATTTTGTGATTGCTGAACTAAAATAAGCATAAATAAGTTGACTAATAAATATTATGCAATCCTGCAAAGAGAATTTTCAGGTACTATAATTTTCTTTGAATTTATTCTATTAAAATGGTTATTGACAAACCACACTGCTTGTTGTTTTCCTGAGTCATTAACTTAAAAATGCCCTGATCCATGTTCAAAAGGGGGGAGTATTGACAGGGTAAAATTCTGCTGCGGGATGTCTCTATTCAGGCCTGCAACACTCCACTGAGCCTTCAGCGAAGCCAGGCCTTGAAAAAGCTGGGTAACTTGGCTGAGAGCAGAGTTCGTCTACAGCCCAGGATATCAGGAGGAGGGGGATGGGGTGGTTGTCAAAAAAAGTCAAGTTGGTGTCTATGTGATCAAAGCCCTGTTCCTTTTTATGTATGTTACTCACTTACCACCATCACCATTACTACCCCTGAACACCCCAATTTCCTGAAGTTTGCCTGTTGTAGAGGGCAAGACTAAAAGACATAAACTTTGACTGGTGTGACGGCTTATCGTTTTGGTTGGATATTATCATTTGATCATCACAGGATTGTCCACCTGACCTAAAGTTAAGCAATTTTAAGAATCCATTCATAAATCACTATTAAAAATTTGGATTATTAATTATGGTTTGTCATACAGATGTTCAGATAGGATTGGGCATTTTTGTTCATCTATCAAGTCCTTCCAAAGGACCTGAGATAGGCAGATGTTTGATGGTCTTAAAAGGTATCTTCACAGGATGTCAGTTGTTCCAAGCAAAGTTGTTCATGGTGAATTTGTCAATGCTGGTGATGTTTAAGTGGTGCTCCAGTTGTTTTGGAATTGCATCCAAGATGCCAATTATTATTGGTACTACTTTTGCTTCCTTTTGCCACAGTTGTTCTATTTTTATTTACAGGTCTTCTTTTGCTGTCTGCAGGTACTACCATGTCTACTATCCAGACATTTTGTTTTTCTTATCAATAATTGTTATGTAGCAGGTGCCTCTCTGTTAATTATTATCATCATCATCATTATCATCATCATCTATTAAATTTATATGCTGCCCATCTCTCGATAAGGCGACCCTTATAGATCATAAGATTATCATATTAATAGATAAGAAATTCACTGAATATAATAGAAATGTTGCAGAAAATGGAGATAGCTTGGTGTCTCCATTTTCAGCAACAATTCCAATAGCTGGTTAGCTGAGGAAACAATGGGCTTCTAAGTAGTTGATGTGGTGGGGAACCTGGAACAAAATTGGATTTTATAGAACTCTATTGCCTTTCTTTCATTTTGTTGTCTTAGCTTCTTGGCTCTTGTGTGTGAGACTCAAGCTGAAAGCAATTAGTAATCAGCAAATTGACCTTTACCATCAATCCAGGCACATGGAGGACACTGAGCTGGATCTTTGTTTATTGAGGGGAGCGAGGAGAGACACAGAGAGAAAGTATGTTCAAATAAGCAATTAATTTACTATTTTTTCCAGGAAATGAGAGAAAAGACATATGATACAAAGTTCAATATTCTCTCTGGAATTCAACCCTGAAACTTTGAATTATCCTTGTAGCCAGAATACAGTAGATGCTAGTTCAATTCAAGTGGGCAGATCAGCTTTTTAAACTTGCAGTATTTGCTTTTTTGTGGTATCCTATGAATCAGAGCTTTGATGGGAACAATTATTTCAGTTTTAGGTCTTCACTTTTCCTACTGAAAACTAGAACTTTTAATCATTTTAAGGCACTTAAGCTATGAATAGGCAATATTAATTTGACCTGTTGCTGTTTCATCTCTGTTAAAGCAGCCAACATAATATGCATGTAGGCAAGTAATAACTCACACAGAAAGCATGCAAAATTACTGCTCCATGCCTCCGATCTTCATTCGTAAAGATGTCATCAGGGAATTCACGGAGAGCTGAGAAGGAAAAAGAAAATAAAATCAAACATTGAAACAGTTGAATTATAGTAAAGATATATTAATTAAACAAGCAAAGTAGTTTTTTAGAAAGGCAATCCTTGTATGTTTCTATATTATGGAAACTGTCCTACAGTGCATATTATTACCAAGCTACTTCATTTTACATCTTAGTGTAAATATGTATAATGAAATTTGATGTTATAGTAACCAGGCTTAAAAGATCTATTAAATTCTTAAATCAATAAAATTATACTTATAATACTGGACATACTTTAGAAGCACATTTAGAAACTTTTGATTAAAATGAGACAATACAAACTCGAGAGTTTTATCATCTCTACAGTTCAGATGCGTTGCTGATTTTAGCAGTTTGGAGCAAGTCCCAAATAGGTGGATTTACTTATTTTAAAATCTGTGCTAACAGATAGAGGATATGTTAACTGAAAAGCCAACACAGTGCTAGGCTGCATTAACAGAGGGATAGAATCAAGATCACGCGAAGTATTAATACCACATTACAATGCCTTGGTAAGGCCACACTTGGAATATTGCATCCAGTTTTGGTCACCACGATGTAAAAAAGATGTTGAGACTCTAGAAAGAGTACAGAGATGATTAGGGGATTGGAGGCTAAAACATATAAGGAATGGCTGCTGGAATTGGGTATGCCTAGTTTAATGAAGAGAAGGACGAGGGGGGACATGATAGTAGTGTTCCAATATCTCAGGGGCTGCCACAAAGAAGAGGGAGTCAAGCTATTCTCCAAAGCGCCTGAAGGCAGGACAAGAACCAATGGGTGGAAACTAATCAAGGAGAGAAGCAACCTAGAATTAAGGAGAAACTTCCTGACAGTTAGAACAATTAACCAGTGGAACAACCTGCCTCCAGGAGCGGTGAATGCCCCAACACTGGAAGTTTTTAAGAAAAGACTGGACAGCCATTTGTCTGAAATGGTATAGGGCAGTGGTTCTTAACCTGGGCAAAATTGCCCCCAGGGGGTGATTTTGTTTTTCAGGGGGGCAATGGAACAAAAAGGGGCGACGCAGGGGCGAAAGAACAAAAAGGTGGCAATATGGGGGCGATGGAGCAAGAAGTTTGGGGGACACTTTTGAGACTTTTTCGTACAGTGAATCGCTGCATATCTGTCATACAAAAACATCAGATCGCTCACTATTAGTTTGTGTAGAATTGTGTTTTCAAATGTTCCTCCAGCTAGCTTCAGTACAGAACGCCGTACATATGTGAATACGCATCGCTTATCTTTATGCGCGTTGCGCAGCAGCCTTTACCCTTTTAATATTTCTTTTTGCGTCTTAAATTTCACTTGTAATTCAATCATTAAATGTTACTGTTTTTCTTTTCGTGCCTTTCACTTTCTTGCAATTGAATTTTGTTTTCAGTGGTCATTACATTTAAGTGTGTTGAATAAATAAGATAATAATGAAATACATGCATCACAAAGTTTGGGAATAAAGTGACGGGTGGCACCAAAATTTTTCAAACAGTTGAGATATGGGAAAAAGACTGGAAATAAATTATTTGCATCAATATGTCCTGATGACAATTTTAAAGAAAACAAAAAAAGTGTTTGCATAAATTGAAGAATTATTTCCTATGTTGTGATTGAGAGGTTATGTTGGGGGAGGGGGGCGATGACAGCTTCCTCATTGGCTCAAGGGGGTGATTCGTTCAAAAAGGTTAAGAACCACTGGATAGGGTTTCCAACCTGAGCAGGGGGTTGGACTAGATGACCTCCAAGGTCCCTTCCATTATTATTATTATTATTATTATTATTATTATTATTATTATTATTATTATTATTACAGTAATGGCAACTGTAAAGTGAACGGGGCTAAATTTATTATTTGTGTACTAATTGTGGGAAAAAGAATAAAACAGAATACTTCATTGGCCAAGTGTAAAGACACACAAGGAATTTGTCTCTGGTGCAAAAGTTCTCAGTGTACATGCAAAGCAACAGAGTAATAATAATCATAGTGATGATGCCAATAAGAGGGGGTAATAAAGAAGGTGGGAAGGATAATAATAATAATACTACAGCTACACAATATGGGTAAATATACTTAGACATCAATACTATGAGAATTAGCAGAGTGATGGCACGAGGGAAAAAACTCTCCCTGTGTCTAGTTGTTTTGGCATGCAATGCCCTATAATGGCGCCCTGAGGGAAAGAGTTGAAACAGTTTATGTCCAGGATGTGAGCTGTTTGTCGATATTTTCTCAACCTTCTTTCTCTGACCCACGCAATATATAGGTCTTCTATGGAAGGCAAGCCAGTTGCAATTGTTTTTTCTGCAGTCCTACTATCTCTGCTGGAGTCTGTACCTGTCCTGTTTGGTTTCTGTACCAAACTAGACTGTTATAGAAATATAAATGACAGATGCAATAATTCCTCTCTAGAACTGTATCAGCGGCTCCTGGGGCAGTCTGAACTTCCTGAGTTGATGCAGGAAGAAACATTTTTTGTTGTGCTTCTTTAATGATGGTTCTAAGTGTCCAATTCAAGTCCCGGGAGATTATAGAACCCAAAAGCTCACAGGATTCTAGAATAGAAGATCTCCTCCTAAATACATTGTCATCTACAGTTTTAAGCATGTTTGGCTCCAGATTATTCTGACTGCATCACAGGCCAGTTGTTCAATCTCCTGTTTATATGCAGACTCATCACTGTTTAGAATTAGACCAATGACTATTGTATTATCTACAAATGTCAGTACTTTAACAGAGGAATCCCTAGAGATGCAGTCATTGGAGATGCAGTCATCTCTGTTTATGATAGGAAACACCATGTGATGTATGTTTCTTACTAATGGTACATTTGCTGCTGGACTGCTACGTTCAGACAGTGATTAAGATTTTAAGGATATAAGGAAAAACATGCCTGCTTAAAGGAAAAGCCAACTGCATCAGTTCACACAATGGCAAACTAGTTGTTTATTTGGAAACCAATAGATAAAATTTGAGCCCAATCAGATTGGAGTGCTAGTGTTGCTCAGCAACTAACATTCATAGTCATTTTGTCAGCAGGAATGCAAGCTAATGAAGCTCCCAGTCTGAATTGGTCACTAGAAGGCATTCTGCACCTTTGATAGCTTGAATAGGAAGACTCAGGTCAACTTCTTCTTTTCTCCAGTGGTATCTATTGCAGAAAAATGTGTAGTTTCTATTAAATTTTCCCTTCAAAGCAAAAACATCTAAGTGCATGCCATAGAAATAAATTGATCAAGGAATCAAGGCTTTTGAAATATTTTTGTGTCATTTTCCAGTTTCTTACTTTTAGACAAAGCTTTCCTCTCTCAAACAGCAAGCAGAGAACCTTCCAAAGTGGTGCATGGATATGCATATTGGAGAGGAAGCAGAGATGCTTTTGATCCCAGGATAATAGTCTTTGATCACAAGCGATGTTTTGATTCAGAACTAGCCATCTTTTAACTCAGAAACAAGCACAGAAAAAGCACCTTGCAACATAGGGTCCAAAAACAGAGGCAACATTCACTGTTTCCACAGTGAACATGAACAGATTAGATTACAAGGCAAACATAAATATCTCTTCTCAGCAGAAACAAACTCATCCTGGTGATATTTAGGCATTTTCACTCTAACAACAAGTTCAAATGCAAAATTATGACAGATATGGTAGAAAAACAGGTCTGTTAAGTAAGAAAGGGCATGTTGGGAAAAGACTTGAAGATTACTTCCAGTCTGTAGGCCACCAATGCCCTCTGATTTATTTTCCATAGCCTACATAGGCTTGATACATTCACACTGTCTCCAACAGCAGGCATGAGCTTGCTCTCTTACTCTCAGTACTTTATTCACTGCCTTCCATCCAAGAAAGTTTGAGGTTTTTCATGGGAATGGGTGGATACATGAACAGAAGTTGTGAATACCGGGCAGGTAGGCAGGCAGGCAAGTAGGCAGGAGGAAAGGAGGAAGGAAGGCAAGCAGGCAGGGAGGGAGGGAGACAGGGAAGAAGACAGGCAGGCAGGCAAGCAGGCAGGGAGGCATCACATCACTAGTACCACTTTATAAAACCCTAGTGAGACCACACCTGGAATGCTGCAACCAATTTTGGTCACCATACTACAAAAAAGATGTTGAGACGTTGGAAAATTTTCAGAGAAGAGCAACTAAGATGATCAAAGGCCTGGAGACTCAAACCTATGAAGAACGGCTGCAGGGCTAGTCTAAAGAAAAGAAGAAATAGGGGTGACATGATAGCAGTATTCCAGTATTTGAGAGGCTGCCACAAAGAAGAGGGGGTCAAATTATTCTTCAAAACACCAGAGGGCAGGACAAGAAAGAATGGTTGGAAACTGATCAAAGAGAAAAGCAACCTGGAATTAAGGAGAAAGTTCCTAACAGTGAGGACAATTAACCAGTGGTACAGCTTGCCTTCAGAAATCGTGGGCGCTCCATCACTGGAAGTTTTAAAGAAGAGACTAGACCAGGGGTAGGCCAACCTTGGCTCTTTTATGACTCATGGACTTCAACTTCCAGAATTCCTGAGCCACTTGTGAAGTCCACAAGTCATAAAAGAGCCAAGGTTGCCTACCCCTGGACTAGACAGTCACCTGTCTGAAATGGTATAGGTTCTCCTGCTTGAGCAGGGGTCTGGACTAGAAGACCTCCAAGGTCCCTTCCAGCTCTATTATATTCTAACATATTCTAACTTTTTTCCTCACTCCGGATCTGTCTTTCTCCCTACACAGTGAAATGAAGCCACTATTAGGCTACTTGGGTTGCAACATAACCATAGCGCTGGGTTACTTGTGGTATATTCCCAAGTGTGGTAAATATGAGTTGCAAGATTGCATGGCTCTTCGAATTCTCTACCACCTCCTCCTTGGTGAAGGAGAGTGGGAAGATTGAACAAGTTCCACTTTTTGGTTCCTCCCTGTACAGATGTCATAACTGAGATTTGGAGGGAATAAAGCTACCATGTGAAAGAGTCCTATTCTTCCCAAAAGAAAG